CTCCATTTTATGAGAAAAATTATCCGATGGAAAAATGAGAGAAAAGTCGTTGCAAAAGAGAATGGAGAATCCATCTTTCTCAATCTATTCTAATGGTAGAGCAGCTACAAATACTATTGAAGGATGTAGTTTGATAGCAAACCAAGCAACAATCAATCCTTAACCTAGCTAGTGAAGAAAACACTCTATCTCACCTTATGTCCTTCCTTTCTCTAAGATGATAAGGAAACTGAAGAAATGAGAGAAAAGTCGTTGCAAAAGAGAATGGAGAATCCATCTTTCTCAATCTATTCTAATGGTAGAGCAGCTACAAATACTATTGAAGGATGTAGTTTGATAGCAAACCAAGCAACAATCAATCCTTAACCTAGCTAGTGAAGAAAACACTCTATCTCACCTTATGTCCTTCCTTTCTCTAAGATGATAAGGAAACTGAAGAAAAGGACGCAAGCTCTCTGGTCGTGCAAGGCTTAGATCCTCTCTTTATGTAGAAGGAATTCATTCCATAACAAGGACCCTTTAAAAATAATAAGTGAATGTGCTACATATTGTAGTGTAAGCACGTAAGTAAAAAGCCTCTTATTACGTCAAGACCCTCCTTCACCAATTATTCTATAGGGAATCCCCATATTCTAATTGTAAAGAAGGTCTTGTCTTCATTATGTTGTAGGATATACACACTCCTCAAATGAAAGGGTTTTAAGCTAAACTATAAACGAATTAGTTGAAAATCAAAATATAATTGAAGACATTTCAAAAAATGATATGATGAAATTGTCTAAATCTTAAAAAAAGACAGTTGAAATTGTTATTTTAGTTGTATCAGTTAATTTTATTAAATATTTTTATTATATCAGCTAATTTTTTCTCCATCAACCACAAGTTATTTGATCTATCGACTATAAGCTCGAATTAATATATGAGCTATTAGACCATGTACAATGGTTGTCTTAATAAGCAATTGCTTAGAATATTTTAGTATTATTTTGGTGGGACCCTGTGCCATTAAGCAATTCTATGATTTAAGCAATTCAATCCCACAATGGTGAATTTAAATTCTGGTCGAAGCAATTTTGGATTTCTCATCCTCTCTCTCATGTCTTGCGCCATTTTCTGGTTCATTGGCCCACAAATTCTGATTGCTTGTGGATTGCTTATTCAAGCAATTGCTTAACCTAAGCAATTGCTTGTCTTCTCTTCACAATGGAAAATTGCTTAAATAGCAATTGCTTATTTTTAAGCAATCAGTTAAGCAACCCCATTGTAGATGGTCTTAACTAACTTGTCAGTTGCTAGCTAGCTTTTTGAATAGATTTACTAAACATACACAAGAAAGATTAAGAGATAAACTCAAACTTTTTAAAAAAACACAGTTTTTTCCAAACCAAACTAAATCTGACCCACTTGGAAGCATTTGGAGCAAGTTAGACCCGCCCGGTTTCTAGAACAGGTTGGGCTAAGTCCGCCCGTTTCATGAATAGTGTAGATTCGAATACTAGTATTGCCCGCCTTGTCCAGCCCATATATGTAACTTGGCCCAATCATCATATCTTTTCCCCCAAAGCCCAAATTATCAATTTCCACTTAGCCCAACTCCCTTCTCTCTTAATTTTCCCATCTCTCATTCTCTCTCATCCTCCTTTCCTTCATTTTCCATTTTCCTTTTTCCAGCAGCTCACAATTCAACTTCTCGATTTTTCTGAATTATGCACTCAGACAACACGCATACACTGACAAACAACACATTTCCTTCGCCGGTCTCCGGTCCCCGACGTCGGCCACGAAAGGTCGTCCTCTCATAATCGTTCGACAGCTACTTCACGCAGCCTTACCGGTAAATTTATTTGTTTTTATATCTATTTTTCGTTTACCTGCGCACATCAATGGGTTCGTGATTCAACAATTCATTTGTGTATCTTGTCTATTTTCTGTGGTTGATATCCAGATTTCCTGCACTTTTCTCCATTGTATGTAGTGTTCTGTATTTTGGTTCTTAAGATTGCATTAACAGGAATTTCAAATGATGAATTTGTTCTGTTAACTTGTTCATTGTGGTGTGCCTGTTTTTGTATGTATTGGATTGAAAAGGAAAGAAAAAGGAGAGAGAACGAGCATTCATTTGTTTCTACTTTTAGAATTAGTGTGTGAATTTGGTATTTCCTTTGTTCTTAACATGTAGTAGCTCAGATTTGCATGTAGATGGTATTGGTGGCAGTTTCTTAGGAAGACTAATAGTTCTTAAGGAGATACAACACCTTATGTGGATATAATGAGAGTTGTTTTGGGTAAAAGTCGCCACCTATTATTGTCCTTGGAACCAAAACCATCTTCAGTGAATCAGTCCATTTCCTCTGTTGGTAGTGTTCTGCATTTTGGTTCTTTCGGTTGCATTAGGGATTTGAAATGATGAATGTGATCTGTTGATTTGTTTATTGTATCGTGACTGTTTAGTATGTATTGGATTGAAAAGGTAAGAAAAAGGCGAAAATTGAGCATTCGTTTGTTTATACTTTCATAGTTTGTGTGTGGATTTGGTATTTCCTTTGTTCTTAACATGTATTAGCTCACTTTGCAGGAGATGGTACTAGTGGCAGTTTCTTAGGGTAAGTAATAGTTCTTAAGGAGATGCAACACCTTATGTGGATATAATGAGAGTCGTTTCGGGTAAAACTCGCCACCTATTATCGTCCTTAGAACCAAATCCATCTTCAGTCCAGTTCGCGGTGAACTCACTCACATCAGACGAAACTCAAGCTACAAGGAAAAGTAAGTATGTATCTCACGAATCGGTAGTCAACCTTATCAAACGTGAAAAAAACCCGGAAAATGCACTGGAAATTTTCAACAAGGCATCAACCCAGAAGGGCTTTCAGCACAACAACTCGACTTATGCTGTGATCCTCAACAAGCTCGCCCAGTGTAAGAAGTACGGGCCCCTTGATGCCGTTCTTCACCGCATGACTTACGAGACCTGCAAATTCCATGAAGGTGTTTTCCTTAACCTCATGAACGAATTCTCGAAATCGTCCCTTCACGAGAGGGTGCTCGACATGTTTTGCTTGATCGTTACAATTGCACGCACAAAGCCTTCCATGAAAGCCGTCAGCACTTGCCTTAATCTGCTGGTTGACGCGGAACAAATGGATCTGGCCCGGGCTTTCCTCCTGAAGGCCCGTAAGGACTTTCACGTTGAGCCCAATACATGCATATTCAACATTCTCATCAAACACCACTGCAAGAAAGGGGATCTCGAATCGGCCTTTGGAGTGGTGAAGGAGATGGAGAAATCTGAAAAATCATTCCCGAATTTAATCACCTACTCGACTTTAATAGATGGGCTATGTGCGAATGGTAGACTTGAAGCAGCCATTGACTTGTTCGAAGAAATGGTGTCCAAGCATCGTATAGTGCCCGATGCATTGACTTATAATGTCCTGATAAACGGGTTCTGCCGTGGGGGGAAAACCGAAAGGGCTCGGAAGATAATGGACTTCATGAAGAAAAATGGGTGCAGCCCAAACAAGTTCAATTACTCGTCATTGATGAACGGGCTTTGCAGGGATGGGAAAACGGATGAGGCCAGGGGAGTTATCGATGAAATGTGGGCTGTGGGCTTGAGGCCCGATACTGTTTCTTACACGACTTTGATTAATTCCTTGTGCAGGGCCGAGAGGACGAGTGAAGCCCTCGAGCTGCTTAGAGAGATGAGAGAGAAGGAATGTAAGCCAGATATGGTTACATTTAATGTGATTCTTGGTGGGCTGTGTCGGGAATATAGATACAGTGAGGCTCTCGATATGCTCGAGTGTCTGCCGAGCGAAGGTGTCTATCTGAACAAGACCAGTTATAGAATTGTGTTGAATATTTTGTGCAAAAATGGGGAATTTGATAAAGCGGTAAGCTTGTTGGTTCTGATGTTGCGTAGGGGCTTCGTGCCCCACTTTGGGACGTCGAACGAGTTATTGGTAAGTCTTTGTGAGGTGGGGAAGGCAAACGATGCTGTTATGGTGTTGTTTGGTTTGGTGGATTTGGGGTTCAGACCGAAGCCTGGTACTTGGAGTGTGTTGGTTGATTTGATTTGTAGAGAAAGAAGGTTGTTGCCTGTGTTTGAACTCGTTGATAAGCTGATTTCGGAAAGATTTATGATTGCTGCTTTGGATGTTTCGAAATCATGCTGAAAAAAATAAGGAAAAAATAAAAAGTATCTGCTTGCTTCATGACTCAGTGACATCAGGAGTCTGATTGAGGAGTTTTGTTAAGGTGTGTTCTATCTTGGGCAAGATCAAGATAGTAAAAATTTTTGAGTTGAGACACTCAAGGGCCCGTGATCGTGGCCCGGGTGTGTACAATCTACATTATGTGTTGTACTTTTATATTCCTTTTGGACCTTTTTTTGGCTTCCATGGCATTCATCAGTGTCTGCTGATGATGTAAAATCTGGCGTTTTTCCTTTAATTCCTTTTTCATGTAGTCCATATATATTTCCATTGTCGAATGAGTTCGTTAGAAAGCATAATTTATTTATTGCGATGGTATTTTTGCAATCACAAATTTGTTTAGACGATGATATACCATAGTTCTGTTTATATTGTTATTTATAAAATACATACATTTAGTATGATTGCTTTAAGTCTATTTGTTAAGCATGTCTTCTTCAACCAATCTTTTCATATTAGCTTGGTCATTGAATAACCTTTTACCTCCTCTTCATGTAGCCATCATTTTATACTTCCTTCTCTTTGCTTTTTTCCCTTTCAATGCTTTGCCCTTCCAGCTGCTTTTATGATTTTGGTAGGAAATGGTCAGTCAAATACTGGTCATTGCCAGATTTTTTATAAAAAATACTGCTTCATGTCAAATACTGATCATACCATATTATATATAATTGTTTAATGATCAACACAATCCTAGCCAAATCCTAAAGAAAACCACCAAAATCACTTTAAAAAAAAAAAATGGCAAAAACTCACTACCAAAAAAACAAACTACAGAGCTAAAATTTACAGGGGCAGCACATTAGGAGGCCTAATGGATGCAATAGAACCATGTGAAGAGCTTCTCCTCAAGGAAGAAGGTTGATCTATGAAAACAATCACAACAGTGATGTCATCGTGAAAATGCCTCCTTACGCCTCGGTCAATTTTCTTGAGGTCCGAATATCGCATTTCCCTCTTCTTAGCCGCCACTCGTAGAGCTGCCTTTACAAGCCTCCTAGCAATCCCCTGCCCCCCGAAAAAGAAAAAAAAAACGGTAAATACAAAACAGCCTAAGATTAATAGGGATAATTGTACAGATACAGGCTCGTGTATTTTCCTTTCTTGAAAGCTTTTAAAGATGAGAAAAATGGGAAGTAAATAAAATATACACTCACATTACGAGGATAGCCATTGACGATATCAACGGCCTCTTGATTGCTGAGATGCTCCCACAAACCATCTGAAGCAAATATGAGGAATTGATCACTGGGGTCGAGCTTGTGTACGAGCATTGAAGGCTCCGGGCTTAGAATGGGCTTGCTAAAGGGCTCGTTTAGTCTGAATTTGGCCAGTAATGGCTCTCGGTTGAACTCTGATTTCTTGAGGTATGCGTCCCCAATGGATCTCGACACCTTTTTATATCACAAATTCAAGATAATAATAATAACATAAATGACATATTTTGGTAAAGGAAACAAATGCTTATGAAAAGTCACCTT